GTGTACTATAAGGTGCATCAACTCCTATTTAAAAACAAATGAAAACGGCGATAAAACCGATCGTACTTCCTAGCCAAAATCCGCTAGGTTCGCTAGTATCTATCCGGCGAGAAAGTAAATAAAAGATAAAAGTAGGAGCTGCAATTTAAAAAGTGTTGACAGATAAATATTTTTTAAAATTTAAAAATATATAAATCATGGTGGATCGTTGTGCTGTTTTTAATTGTGATTATGGGAGAGAGTCTTCAAAATATTAATAGCAGTTTTATAATGCCAAAAAACAGTTATACAGAATATGGTGCAAATTATTGGTGGTATGAAAATAAACATTAAACCCAAAAGTTCCATTTGTGAAAAACATTTTAATGCAAATTATGTTATCCGTGAAAAAGTGCTAAGAAATCTACTAGGAAACGTTATTTTTCAAGTAAATATAATTAATGTCTACGTTTTAAATGATTGTAGGTTATGTAAATAGGTTATTCAACTTTGTCTTTTCTGTAATAAAAATAATTATTAGTATAAAGTTTTACTATATAAATATTTCGTATTATTTATCCTGTCTCCTTGGTACTAATAATGTTATGACTTGGACCCTATTATAATGTGTTCATGATATAAATTTCATATACACAAGGTACCTATTTCTTTTGATATTTTTCTGACCCTGCGAATAAATAAAATCTTTGACTTATTCCTTTTAGCCTGATTATAATGCTAGAAAGTTGTATCTGGTTATAAGAATCAAATAGATACTATGATAAATTTATTTTACTTGTAGCCTTTTTATTTTTAAGTGTTCAAATATACATTTGTTTAATATTAATCATCCCCAAATGTGTTTTGTTCCAGTTCTTTAAATGTATTTACTAGGTTTTTATAGAAGTACTGATTTTAAATTAATAAAAATTTGAGCTGTAAGAAATATTTAAGATTTTTCAATTCTGTATTTTTCGTATTTTTATAGGAGTTAATAATCCCTTTAAGTAAATAAATGTAGTTCGGGGTCGTAGATGTTGGTAATTTGTGTATTGAATAATTTGTACATACACTGGTTAATAATTTAAACAATGTTCTTTCTGATGTACCTAATAATTATTTAAGGTTATCTTGTAGTTGAGGAGTCTAGAAATCTGCATATTCACACCACTCTGAAGTCTAGAATTTGACACAAATTTGAAGTTAAAAATAACGATCGTATTACTTAAAAATCTACAGATTTTTTTAATTTTTAATCGATGTAAAAATTGGTAAATACATGATAAAAAGTAAAAGTTATTTCAAATAATTAAATATAACTTTGCAACTATATGTTACGATTCCAACTATCAGAACTAGCCAGAACAAGAATGGTGCATTTCCAGACCCTTCAATTATAAGATTACCATTATTTAATGTGCAGCGCAAATATAAAAAAAAACTACCTAAAAAATGCTGTTCCTGCTTTTATTACTTATGATGGGACTACTTCTCAAAGGAGACAAGAATGTGGAAAGTATTGCTGATACAGTTACCGAAGTTATCCACTGGGGGTGAAGTGTTAATCTTTTAGGAATATAGGAAATATTTCTTTATATCTAACAACTTAATATTTATTTATTGATAAGTTATAGATACTATGTATTTGAAATTCGAAGTAATCATTATGACAGCAGTGTTCTTATTGTATTCGAATTCTAACACAAATAAAACATCTCATTAAATTTTTGTTAAAATTATTAATTTATTAATTTTACATTAGAAAGAAAATTAACAATACACACAAAATTATTTAAAATTAGAAATAAATACAATTTACACATTTCCCATTATTACACTTTTACTTACTTAATTTATTCATTTCTTATATTAACAATTTAAATTAATAATATAGTTCATTATTTCATTGGAACTCATTTTATAATTTTACTAATTATTTTTTTATATTTATTTGTGGAAAATTAAATATTAAATAAAAGCATAGGAATTATTCTATTAGATAATAGCAGTAATGAAAAAATAAGTAGGAAAATTTCAAATGTATAGTTTCCAGATTTATTATGAGTTTTTCATATTAATGTACTCAATAAGTAGGTTTATTATGTTCGCTTGTACACATCACAGCAGCAGACAGTAACAAACCTGACAACACTTCCGATTTCAGAAAAAAACATTACAACAATTTGTTTTACATTATATATTTCAATAATGTAATATAATAATCATTTATATTTAATTAATGACAAGGTTTACTTTTTAAATAAAACTATATGAGCCCTGTCCCGTTTCAATTAGCACACTTCTCAAATTTATAGTGACTGTCACTACAAGAACAAATCATACATAAATCTGATAAATTACTTTTATTTTTTTAACCCTTTCACTTCTACTTTCATTAAAAAAAATACCATTGTAGTAGATTGTATGTTTTCTTTGTTTATTTTAAGTAAATTAAAATTTTTTCATAGTATTTTTTATTACTCCAAGACATAACGTCCCTGTTCAGGGACATTACAAAAACAAAAATTTACTATGAAAATAATTTTTTTATAATATTAATCCTTAAAAGTAATGCAAATAAAAGTAAATAAACTAAAAAGAAAAAATTTCTACCAAAATTAACAGATGTATACTTCAGGGTTAATTAAGACAGTGTCCCTCTGGAGGGACAAATACACTGAAAGGGTTAAATATTTACAAATTTTCATGAGTGTTTCATCACCTTTAACTTTGATAACGGCAATAATTCATTAAAACATTGTATTTACAAGTTCTTGAAAATCTTACGTGCAGGGAACCTACTCCATATTTCTAGATTACCCATTTGCTTTAATTCTGGCAGTGATCTTGTGGGTGCTGCACGCCTCTGCTTAAAAATTATCACCCCATATACAAAAAAACATCTTTATTAAATGAACAAGAAACTAAAAAAAAAATAAGCATTATTAAAAACTACAAAAAGTGCATAATTTGAAAATTCATATTCAAGCTTGAGATTTGTAAAATTAAAAAAATTCCAAATACACATTTAACTTGTTCAATTATGTATTGAATAAAAGGTCTGTTCCAACAATGATCAGAAACAAACCACTGGGTAGTACACAATTTTGCAGTATCGATAAACTACTGTGCAGAATCCTGATGTCAGCAACTCATTTCTGAGCATTGTTGGAACAAACCTAAAGTAAATCGAAACCACTTAAAAACAAGCACAACATTTATACTCGAGCATAATTTTTAATTCCTATCAAAATTTTTAATTACTGAATATTTTGTTCTAGTTATATTAAAATTTAAAAGTTCTTACTCTTCATATATACCTACATACTATCTCTAACATTTTACAAATTTGATGCCTAATTAAAGATGTCATCTAGCATTGCAGCATTTTTAAGAATATTTGAGAGAGCATAGTAGTAACTGCCAGTTAAAACTTTATTTCTAGTATTTAGTTTAGGTAACAGAGACAACGCTTGGAACAGAAAATACATACTTTTGTTAATTCAGAATTTTTAAATGTTGTTTTATATTATAAATCTTTCCAGGTATCGGGTATCCTATATCATTTTTTTTATAATTTTCAACCAAAACTGTTTAAAAACAAAAAGTTTAATAAAACACCCATTATATTTAATAAGGTTTATGCTCTAAAACTCACTGTTCTTTTAATGGCAGATTTTTTAACCTCTGAGTAAAGTTAGGTGTAAGTATAATCTATAGCCTAATCAGCAAGTAGTTACTTTCAACTTTATTCAGAGGTAAAAACCTGGCCTTTAATCTTAATATAATTGTGGAGGATGGAGACTACATTTGCTAGGGATTAGGGAATAACGAAGATCTGACTACTATAATGACACTTGCTAAAAACTGTATAAGTTCTATGTACATGCAGATAGAACCATGTGAATAACTTTAGTGCTTCGATAACACAACATTGAAAATTAACAGATGAATATATTGGTCACAAAAACAAATTAAATAATATATTCTACCAATCTCATTTTTTCCAAAAAGTCCAGTTACAACCTTGTTATTCTTTGAGATGTATTTATTACTGATACTTATTAATAAAAATAATAATTGATATAGGTACTTACTGATCTTTGGAAACATATATACTCCAGTCCAGTGAGACTTCATTATTCTGGTATAATGCTATTTCACAGAAATGTTTGTAATTCTAATCACTATGTATGGATTTGATTATAGTAGGTATAAAACTAAATGTTTATTGAATATCTTTAATCTGGGCAATGAAAATCACAAAATTCACTTTAAAAATAATAAGCTTCAATCTGAGTACCATAGTTAAGGTCCACTTCATTTTATAATCAGTAACCCACTATATTGCTGTTTTTGCCAAAGCCAATATTTGAACACAAAACAAAATCAGCTGTTTTTTATAAGCACCCCCATTTCACTTATTTAGTAGCAAGTCTCTGGCAGCAACTTGTAACTTAATTGGAGCATATTTATTAAATCTTGAACACTTTTTTTGATCGTATAAACTCACACATCAGTGCAGCTTGTTTAAAAAAAAACACTTATAAGCAACCATCAATAACAATAAACTTATTTGTTGACCATTAATTTTTACATCTGTACTCCTTCTGATAGTTTTATCATTTTTCATTTCATATAAACTCGAATTTTCACCATAGAAGAACTATTTTCATGATTGCACTTTTTTGACAGATAAAAAGATTGCCGCAATTTTCCGCCGTAACGACACTAGCGAACCTAGCGGATTTTGGCTAGGAAGTACGATCGGTTTTGGTATGTTTTTTTCAGGGAGTTGAAACACCTTTATAGTACGCCGTGGTGTCGCCTAACAAAGGCGGGCAAATGGCAAATACACACACGGCCGTGGCCTAATAATTGTCGTTCTCCAGACCCAGACAGCCATAAACGTCACTGTCAAAATCTCTGTCAAAATAATAAATATAAATAACCCAATAAGTGAGGTTAATAGTGTTTATTTCTTAAATTTTTTCAACAAAAAGATATTTTAAAACTTACAAATGGACAATGTCATAGGTAAGACATTTAAAAAATATATTATGTAGTTATTAAGATATTCGGCAACAAATTTCAAATTGCCTATCGATAGATTATATAGTTTTAGTTAAATAAGTTTGGCCTTTTTATTTCCTGTCTGTATACAGATAAGGAAAGTATAGGAATCATGATTTTTTGAACTAAATACATAGAATCTGATCTTTATTTCAGATTCAGAGAAACATGTTTATATTATGCCCACTAAAATGGTCAAAAATATAAGTGATATGCTACAATGGGATAAATCAGAAGCATACTTTGTGAGTATACCTAAGCTTTTATTTTAATCATCATTCCTTTAAGTTCATTTTTATACACGTTTTCATCTATATTTTTATATTCTAGGAATATTTAGGGTTTATATACAGTTTAAATGACTCTATCAGAGGCAAAACAAATAGTGAAGCCAGTCATGGTGCTTCACCAGAAATTGAAAAACTTTGTGTACTTCTAGAAACACTAAATGGTTGGATTGACGAAATTCCTCCAGTACAACAACCACAAAGGTTTGGAAATCAAGCCTTTAAAGTTTGGTACAATAGGCTAAAAGATGTAAGTTTCATTTTTAAGAATTACAATGTTGGCTGCCAACTACAAGTTGTAGTTTATATGCTTGGTTAGAACGCCAACTACGACTTATCTTTCTTGTAGTTTGTTTATTTGCTATATTCGTGCAGTTATGACTAAATTAGTAGTATATCAGTGTAAGTATGAATAGGAAGCTTCTGGGAAAAGCACAAAAAAGAAGACTGGCTTACATGAACAGAAAATGTATTAATAAACGAACAGAAAATATAATGTTATCATAAATTTATTCAAAATTAGGAAACAAAAGAGTACTTTTATTGTTTGTAATTTACTAACGAATTTAGGCATGTATCGCTGACTCAGGTATAGCGAAGCGACATCAAGTTGAAGCCTGTCTGTATACTTAAAAAAGTAGTAATTTTACTAGTGACCATTACTCATTCAAAGGGAAAAAAAGTAAATCTAATAAAATTGCAAATGCATTCACAAAATTCTTTGCATCAGTATATGCAACTAATAAACCTTCTTATAAGATAACTTGTGAATCTAAAAATTTTACAAATATTTCTATAAATTTAAAATTAATAATGGGTGTAGATTATGAAGAAGTAATTAAAAAAGGTAAACCAAAAAAAAAAGCAGCAGGATCAGGCAGCATGCCTCCATATGTTCATAGGGCTTCTAGTGAGTAGTTAATAAGGGACATATTTTCAATTTACATACCTTAACAAATAAGTTTCTCCTATATTTTAATATGGAAATCGAAAACCTTAAGCCCACTTATATCAGCGCCTTCTAAATTATATGAGCATATACTGTATGCACGATTAAATCAGCATGTTGAGATCAGCCTGGTATCTCAACAGCATGGTTTTGTCTTAAAAAAATGTGTCAGTACAAATCTGTTACAAAATCCAACTTGATGTAATATTCACATATTTAAAAAAAAAGGATTTGACAAGGTAAATCATGATCTTTTAAACTTTTAAAACTGAGTAAATTTGGGTTAACAGATAGTATTCTTACACTGTTTAAGAGTTCCCTAGAAAATAGAATATAGATATTCAATTGTTAAATACAATGGGAACACATCAATTGATAGCATGGAATGGAGTGCCACAGGGCTCCGATTTGGGACCCCTGCTTTTTTAATATTTGTTAACGATTTACCATCTGTGCTAAAGTTGACAGACTTTTCTTTTTGCTGATGATCTTTAAATTTAAAAAAAATACAAGCTCTTAGGGACTGTTTGGTTTACAAAAATATATAGACAACATAAATGAATCTGTGTTTTGAAAAAGATATAGACAGCAAAAATAAATGGGGTTATATAAATAAATTGGGTTAAATATTCAAAAATACGTGTGGCACTCGGGGACTGCTGCAGTAAAGCTATTGCATAGCATTTTTTATCAACTTATGCAATTATAATTATTTATTTGTTTTATTTATTCAGTATTTTTTTTCTTTGATATTAATTCAAGTTTTTTCTTTGATATTAATTCAAGTTTTTTCTTTGATATTAATTCAAGTTTTTTCTTTGATATTAATTCAAGTTACACTTTTTGAGCCTGGTAAGCGATAAGAAAACCATTTTTTTTTCTTTTATTGAATAAATGAGAAGTTAATATTGTTTTAAATATTTTTATTATCTTACAATACATGTAGGTTATTCAGGAATTTTAATCATTGAAACTATAGGTTTATGGTAACTGAAATAAGAAACATAAGTTTGAGACTTGATATCCTCTAGATATCTGGAAAATACCGCGTCAATGGTGGTCCCATATTTTGTTGTGGATTCTTGTGGATCATTATTCATTTTCAAATTCAATTTTTCCGAAATTGTGTCTGAAAGAGCAGTTAGTAGCTAGTCTATACGCATACGTCTAGTCGCGTGCCGAAGTCTGCCGAACTGAAACGACGTTAGACGATGCACGGCTTTCAACGCCACACCGCTGTGCCGATCGGAGTGGGGGTGTTAGGTTTATTTTCGTTACGGAATTTCTTTTTCGATTTTACGATTTTTAGATTTTTTCGAATTTTTGATTTTTCCTTTTTCGGTTTTTCTATTTTTCGGTTTTTCTATTTTTCGGTTTTTCGATTTTTTGATTTTTCGACTTTTAGATTTTTCGGTTTTTCGATTATTCGATGGTGTTAGGTTTATTTTCGTTACGGAATTTTTTGATTCGGTCGCCGCGCTCAAAGCCCGCGATAAAATCTATACAATAGCTTAATAATGAAATAGTTAACACTGATAAAATAATTAATATTTTATAAATCCTGCAAAAAAAATTAATATTTAATATTTACGCCAGCCGGGAACATTTGTGATACCAATTTATTAGAAGCCAGAGAAAGCTCTTCTAGTTCTTGTATTGCATAAACGTTCCAGTCCGCAGACGTATATTTAACTCCGCTTCATACTAATACGAATAGGGTCGGATAAAACCTTCCACGGCTTTCAACGCCGCACCGCTGTGCCGGTCGGAGTAGGGGGTGTTAGGTTTATTTTCGTTACGGAATTTCTTGATTCGGTCGCCGCGCTCAAAGTCCGCGATAAAAGCTATGCAATAGCTTTAAAATGCTGCAGTATGATAATAAGGGCGGGGGTTGTATGTACAAAGAATGCTTTAAACTCAGATTAGCTAACAAGAGTTTAATTTTTACTATTTTTATCAATAACCGATGATTATTATACGAGGTTTACAGTTTAAACTAAGTTTAAATTTTAACTGCCTATTGTACAACCCCGTTTTAAGTAGATTAAAAAATCCTGTTATTTATCAATTATCTTATAAATAGGGAGGTCTTAGAATGATGAACAGTGGTAAAAGACATGGGTATCACCTACGATTGTGTTCTATCGTTTTCTAATCATGTTAGAAATATAGTTAAGGCTGCAAATAGAATGTTGGGGTTCATAATTAGAACTAGACATTTTACTAACATAGAATCTATAAAAATTCTTTATTATGCTCCAGATAGTAAAAAAATTGAGCTGTGGTATGGATTGGGAAACATCTAACTAATGTACATGAGATAGAAAAATAAATTCCTTAGATATTTTTATTTTAAAAAACTATATATCCAGACTACAATCTTGTTAGAACCTCGGTTAGAACTGCAATCTTAAGATAATAATTTAAAATACGTTCCTTCCATACCAGAAGGAATATGATAGTGATGGCCTTTATATATAAAATTATTAATTATAGAATTAATTCACCTGAAGATTTAATGTACCTCTGAGGAGAATGAGACACCCATACTATGTTTAATAATCCTTTAGCTCTTATTACCACTTCCAAGACACCTCCTGTAACAGTGCTTCGATTAGCAAATAATATACATACATTTATTGATTTAGACTGGCCTTATTATTATTATATAAATAAATTAATTCATTGATTAACATTACTTCCAGGATGCAATCGTATTGCTTCAAAAAGTTGTCCCTGATAGATTATATCGAGCTGTACCTGAAATTATGGTGTACCTAATAGAAGGTTTTGGAAATTCCATAAGGATCGATTATGGTACTGGTCATGAATTATCATTCATAATGTTTTTGTGTGCACTGTTCAAAATTGGTTTTCTGAAATTTACTGATCAACCTGCAACTGCTTGTAAAGTGTTCGTAAGGTTTGTTTTGTTCTGTAGCTGAGTTTATGGTATTAATTTTGTAATTTTTACAGGTATTTGCAATTAGTGAGACGATTACAGAAAACATATAGAATGGAACCTGCTGGTAGCCATGGAGTATGGAGTTTGGATGATTATCAGTTTGTACCATTTATTTGGGGAAGTGCTCAGTTTATAGGTAAAATATGTTCCTAACAAAGTGTAATTCCAAAAAAGTAGTACAGTTATATTACTACTATTTTAAAAATTATTATCTGTCTAGGAACCGGCAAATTCGATACCACCTGTTTTCTCAAGGATAATATTGTCAGAGAAAATTCATCTGAATACATGTTTCTTAGTTGCATCCAGTATATAAATGAAGTAAAAACTGGACCTTTTGCCGAACATTCTAATCAACTCTGGAGTATTAGTGGCGTCTCCACCTGGTCCAAGATCAATTCTGGTCTTATTAAAATGTACAAAGCAGAAGTGAGTATATCACTCCAATTGTCAAAATGATTTAAATGAAATTAACAAAGTGAATTCGAATGGAACGTTTAGAGTTTTTCATCAAAATGCAGTATTAATAAAAATTTAGATGCTTTAGAAATCCATTTTGCACAACTAAATTATGATTATGACAGAGTTACCATATTCAAAAATTCAATTTCTTGATATTCCTAATGAAAATACGGACATTTCTTTAAAAATCCGGACAAAATAATAAAACTTCATCTCATAAAATAATTACTAAAAGTTTTATTTGAAGGATTACCTACCGTTAACAACTAAAAACAAAAATAGTTCATCAATTAAACATTCGTGAAATTAAACAAAACATTATATATAATACAAAGGACATACACAAACAACTACAACTAAATATTTACATAAAAAATAAATTATGAAAAAATAAAAGTTCATTTCAACGGCTAAAAGAACGGTTTATACGGGATTTTAAGTATACCTTAATACATTTGATGGTTTTCCTGAAAGTTCCGGACAACTTATAATTTCCGGCGCTTTCCGGATAAAACTCCAAAATACCGGACATGTTCGGACTTTTCCTGACGTCTGGTAAACCTAATTATGACTGCATAGTTTTGATGGAAACTCTAAATATACCAGACCCTAATTTGTTTTGTTTAAATGGCTATAAATTAGTATATAGTGAAGGTAATTTTAACAGAAGTGATCGTGTCATACTTTACATTATAGTGACAGAAACTTATATCGCCACTCGATTAAGTGACTATTACGTTATAATCACTAAATGTACCCCTATATAGTGAGAATAACTTCATTTTATATTTCCCCAGTTGTAGGCACGTGTCTTTCACCACTGGGAATCACTTTAAAGTTTTATATTATTTAGTTGCCTCTGAAGGTGTTTGAAACGTTATAGCCACTAAGCGGGACCACTTTAAAGTTGCACAAACTTGAACGTGGAAAATAGTGGTTACGGCCATCAAATCATATCACTTAAATACCACCTAGAAGTGGCAGTAATCTTAAAGTGGGTTTGATAGTTTTAGTAACGTTTCGGGAACCATAAATATATCTTTAAAGTGGCGGCACATGATTGTATAACTGCAGTAGTTCTTACCACGTTTTTTCCACGCTCAAAGATACTGTAATGTGAGCTATTTCATTATTCAGTCATGCTCTAACCCTACAAGTCCCTCTCTGTCTTATTTGGCCTTTAAGGCTCAACTTGTCCGATTATTATACATAATTAAACCCCTTAAGACCAAACCTATGGGACGACTATGGCGGAGGTGATTTCAATGATGTTCGAGAAAGGACGAGATAATATTTCTGGACTGTTCGAAATATTTCTAGTTTGGTGGAGAAGCTTCGCGACTCCACCAAATTTTAGAAATTTGTATATAAATATTGGTGGATGAGCCATCAGTTCAGTATTATATGAACAGTGAAGATAAATAGTAATTAGTAGATAGACAGTGGTGAATATAAATAGTGATCAGTTTAAAGACATTTGAAGTATATATAAATTAAAATAATTGTGTTATAAAATAAATAAGTGTTTAAATAAATTATTAATAAATAAACTGTTGTTTGAAAATAAACAAACATCACAATACTATTACCTTCAAAATTTCACAATGAAGTAACCGTTGCCTATTAGTGACCTGCTTTCTACGTTGTCCGCCTTTACAATAAAGAAAAAACTACCAAAGTGTCGTCGATCTGTGTGCAATATACTTTGTTTTTAGACTTATCTAGAGTGCATTTATGTAAAATGGAAAACAACAAGAAGCCTCACAAAAAGATTACTTTTTGACATTCGACAACTTTTTATAGACAACTTAAACAACAAATGAATGGTACCAAAACTCTTAAACGTTATTACTCTGTAGTAAATAAGCAGCTGTTGTCGGAACAAAAAATGTAAAAAATTCTCAAGAGTTTTTTCTTCATATCTAAATCTAAGGTGTGCACACAAACACAATATAAAACATTAAATACATAAATTTAAGTTATCATTGACAAGGGGGGTAGCCATGTGTGAGTTGAGGTAATTTTAAGGTGAAGGGTGAGAAAAAGTCCTTTATATCTCACAAGGAGAGTCAATGTTTAATTGTTTAACAAAACATTGAGTGCGACCGGTTTCGAAGTGTCATCACTTCATCTTCAGGCTCGCCTAGTGGAAAGGAGAATATGTGGTGTAAGGTGTGTTAACTTGGAAACAAAACGATATATAAAATAATAACAACAATGTTTAAATAGGCCTTATCTTTTAATCTGTTTAATGTATGTGATTTGTTTTTGTATAGTATTGAATATTTTAAATTTTTACTATAATTGACTAATATTTGTTTTTTCAAATATTTTTAACTTTTTATTACGTGTAAATCGGTTCATTTTACAATTTATTTCAACCCAAAATTGATGAAACTTGTTTTTGTAGTATTCCCTAGTGGATGGAGAGTATGGTGAGTTTTCTCTCTTTTTTATTATTTTATATATCGTTTTGTTTCCAAGTTAACACACCTTACACCACATATTCTCCTTTCCACTAGGCGAGCCTGAAGATGAAGTGATGACACTTCGAAACCGGTCGCACTCAATGTTTTGTTAAACAATTAAACATTGACTTTCCTTGTGAGATATAAAGGACTTTTTCTCACCCTTCACCTTAAAATTTAAGTTATCTGTGACATAAACAATTTTAACCGGCGAAATCTACTGTAAATTTTGAGGTTATATGGAATAATACAACTAATACAGTGTTGCGATATCATCAGGGCTCAATTTTCCTGAGAAGATATAGTATACAAATTTTTCCCATAATCTTCTTGAATGTACACTATATTTGTACAGAGTGTTAAGTTATTTTTAGAACGGCACTTAAAACGTTTAATAGAAGAGATAAAATAAATTGTTAAATACATAAATTATAAGGCTTTACTAGAAATTACTGTTAAAATAAACAAACGGTAACCAGAAAGGTAACTAACAAGTATCAACTTTGTGAATTTAAATGGGAACCCTATATATTTTTTACTATGGCGATTCCAAATATACTGTACCTTAATATTTGATTAAGCCGTTTTACTCTATTCAAGTTTAAAATTGCTTTAATTTTACATTACCTTGATCTAGGTTGATTGATGACATATTTGTAATTTAAGGTAAATTTGATTTTCCCCCCAAACTAAACTGTGACAACTGTCAAGATGCGGTACGAGTTCTAATTCAAACCAATATCAAGCAAATTAAAAACAGATAAATTCAATCTAATGTTTTATTATAAATAATTTAATGAACAATACTGAGAGTAAAAAAATAAACAAAATATTTAAATTTGAAACAAATGCAAATGGTTGAACTGAAGGTTCTTAATATATAATGATGGGTCGCTGGAAAAGTCCACGGACAGTCTGAAAAGTTGACTAGTCCAAACATATCTTATTAAAATAAACTCATGAAAAAATTACCAAAAAAATCCAGAGGTTGGAAGTATTTTACAAATTATTTGCCTAAACAATGAAAATACAAATTCATATATTGTTTCCAAAGTATTTTTGAAGAAACATCCAGGATGGAGATTTAACTGCGTGTATTCTATGCTCAAGGTCGACTATACTTTCATTGTGACTTTTCAATACTTTTTCGGACATGTCCGTCGGACTAGTCCAAAAATTTCTTTTTATAAAATTCCATCACTATTAATATATAAAATCAACTATTGAAAGATAGTCAACAAATAAATTATGATAGATAAGAAAAAGTTATATGTAATTTAAGTAACCTGTACAAATGATATTGCAAGAGAGCACGGCTCAGTTTCTATTTAGGTTATTGGATGACTAAGCTGAGGGGATGGTCTTGGAGGGTCGGAAAGTTCTGGAGGTGATCTAGCCTGCACAGTAGCTCGAACGAGGTGGTATCGAGTTCGGTTTCCGTAAAGGAAGGAGCCTTGTCACTATAAGTTCTCCAGATGCGGATTCACCGATGCTCTGGAGCTGAGAAACTAGATCCCTACTCGGACTGACTACGTTCAATCACTGCAAATAATCTATGAATTTACACAAATCAATGAATCTCCGCTCACTGGAAAAACAATATTAAATTACGAGGCGATAAAGTTTAAAATCCATTGCAGGTGTTAAAATATAAAATGAACCACTTCAAATTACGAGACAATAAAGGTCAAAATCCGGTGACTGAGTTAAGACGTAAAATGGCTTTTTCTCGAAAAATCTTCGAAATAGCCGAAAACTTCATTGTTCAAATCAAAATAATAATATCCACCCCTAACCAGTGATATAGACCTAAATTAGTGGAATATATATTAGCTAACCACTAAATCCCTGCAACAAATACTCTTAATCGATAAACAACGCTCTAAGGCAGCGTTTAGCCAATAATTCACCTTAAGAACAATAAAGAAAAAACATTTACATTACCTATTACTAAATATTAAACCATCACTTTGATAACCCCAATTTGATTATAATAAAACTCTTCAAAGATAAAAGTGGAAGGACAGAGTGGGATGAATTTACAAAACGAAAGCTACCGGCTTTTCGCTTCCCAGAGCTTTTATCACTTCCTTCTTCCTACCTCTGGCGTTGCGCCGTATCACCGTCGTGTAGACGATTCTCTCTACATTAAATCAAAAACTAAACACTATACAAGGTGCCCTCGAAAAGTCCCTTTAATAATTAAATATAAAAATACGAAATAAAAATCCCAACGAGATTAACTTATTAATTTATTATATTTCCTATGTTTAAATAATAGATATACGAACAAATTAAATCCTAACGAGTATCAAAATGCTCGTTACAACCTTCGCCTAATATATTTTAGTCTCGTAAAATCCAAAATAATGTAACGTTTGTTTAATTTATTTATGGTTCATTTATTTAAAACACTTTATTTATAATTTATTTATAACGTACTCTAATTAATTTATATAATACTTAGGCACTATTACAACTTACAATTCTAATTTATTTATTACATTTTATATTTTCTGTCTAACACTTAAATTGAATCTTCCCGTCCGTCGACAAAGTTGCGCTATTTATGTAAAGCCAGCTCTGTACCAGAACATTCTAGGCTATCCAGAACGACCGAGAAATGCCTCTCTATTACTCATACGCCGCAAATCAATCACTCCGGTGGCTTCTCGAAGCGGTGGGTTTGTCTCTATATGGCCAGCGCTACACTTCATACCGTGATTAAGGAGTAAACAAAGCACAGGGTTGGCTTTGCGTGACAATAACGTATACGACATAACATCCTGGGGGGCTATGGCTAAGACGCATCTAAATATGTTGGAAGTAATTCAAAGGAAAATAATAATATATAATAAGAAACCAACTTATCCTACAAATTTAGTAGGTATTTATTGAAAATAATATAATGGATATGACAGTTTTAAGGAGTGATCCACTAAAAATGTTTCTAAAGCAGGCCTTGGAAAAATTTACGTTTGTCGAATCGTCGTTTAATTCTTCTTTTTAAGTGTCAGTTTAAATTTAATTCAGAGCTGTGGATAGGTACTGATCACGGACATGACTTGTATTTCTGTCTTTGTCGGTCATGGCACACTTTCGAAACATTTTTTGTGAATCACCCTTTATAATTTTAATTTATTGCTTTACATTAAGAAAAATACGCGTATTCTACGCCGCATACTACGCCGCATACTACTGGAAGTAAAATTCAAAAATAAGGTCAAACTTGTTTAGTTAATAAATATTTAATTTCCTTCCAGAAATTTAAACCCAAATTTACTAAAAATAATATATAGTATGTCATTTTACTGGAACTTGTCACATAATTTAATAGAAGGAACACATAATTTCACTAATTTATCTTATATAAAATATAATAGTGGGAAGATTCTTGTTTAAAATCACTTTTATTGCCTGCACTTTTTAATTAGTCGTAATCAATTTCTTTTGTCTCTCTTGTAATTAGAATTACTTGTATATGTCCATCCATAACCCTAACAGATCATCAATGGACTTTCCCTGTTTACTATTTTTAGACAGATTTTTGAATCATATGGTGAACTATGTATGAACCTATACTAATATTTTAATATTATTAATTAAATTTATATTTTGTATTACATTATAATTGAAAAATTGAATAAACGATTAATTATAAAGTATGTCCATAATCTTTCCTATCTTGTAATGACTTTTATTTTAGGTCCTATCCAAGTTTCCATTAGTCCAGCACATCTTCTTTGGGTCAGTATTCACTCTGACCCCCGCCGGACCAGGCGCCAGTGTTAGAAAACCGAAGACGAACCTTCTATCGGCCAGAATGCCATCCAAGGAATTCAAGGAACCGGGTACAAGAGCATCGGACAAGTCCTCAAGCCAGTCTGATAAATCCTTCAGTGATCAACCATCACAAATTTTGGAATAACCTTTTTGTTGTGATTAAATGTGTTACTTGTTTTTGTTCGTATTGTTTCTTTAAGTATACTGGAATATGTCAAAATTCCCCACGTACCATTTGAGAAACTATTTAACTGCTCTGTATAATGCCAGACCTAAAAAGAAAAAGAGTCAATAGAGATGACCAATATGAGGAATATCGAAATTATGTTCTAGCCTCAATTAGGCGTGTTTATCCAGTTGGTAGAATGAAAAAAATGAGAAGTCTTTATCTAGAGGCCTACGCAATATGAATGTCCATTTAAGAGAAATCATGTAAGCAAAAAAAAAATAATAGAGAATATAGCAAACAACTTTTATTTGAGCAATTTTCTTAAAAATTCAAATTTTGCACACATTTTGTCAAATTTCTCGATTACTGACAAAAATTATAGAGAATAAAATTGCAAACAACTTTTATTTGAAGTATTTTCTTCTCCAAGCGTAAATAACAGATATTCCATAAAATAGAAAAACTACCTTCTATAAAGTACCCTCCTTCCCCCAAGGTGTTTTTCCCAAAATCTAATAAGCTCACCGCAGGATGGATTAAAACCGAAGTTTAAAATTTGATGTTTTTCTCTGCATCAGCTCGTTAGTTATCGAATATACAGACACACACACAGACATCATCGTGAAAATTGTCCAAACGGATTCAAGGGACCTCAAACCGTAAGAATCCGTCTAAAACTCGAGGGCAAAAAATCATGATTCCTAGACTTTCCTTACCTGTATACAGACAGGAAACTAAATCAAAAGAATTATTGTTTGCAATATTATTTAATTTTTGTTATATTTTATTTGAAATTTTACAGTTCAAAATTGAGTTTTTTTTTTAAATTGTTTTTATTGATATTTTGATTATTTTTTATTAATATTTAATTAATCTATATTTAATTATTTAAGACTTCATGAAATATTTATAAGGACTACAAACTACTTAAATAAAAAAACCATTATTTGATAAAGAATAAATACCCATGCTCACCCCGTAGTGGCTCCAATGAGCATGTCTTTTGTGTTTATATTATGTTTATTGATCAATGTTTGTACTTTTTTTCAAATAAACATTATTATTCTACTTTAAAAAATCTGATGTGTCCAACACATGACTTTCCAGTCTAGTTATTATAGGCTTTTCGTGGGTATTTTGTACAATCTATTGTATCGCCCCTGTGTAATAAATAAATAAATAAATAAATAAACGTTTAGAGGATACATTTTCTACACATATATTACTCAATTTTTTTTTATATATTTTCATTGCCAACGAAAATACTGAAAATTTTACACTTTTTACAAAAATCATATAAAGCAAACATTATAGAGAATGAAATCGCAAACAAGTTATATTTGTAGAATTTTCTTTTCTTAAATAATAGATATTCTCTTGAGTAAAGAAACGACTACCCAAGTAGCACCATATGTTATGTAGAATGGGGTGTTAATACACTGCGACCTAAAAGATCTATTGTGCCCCCTTCTGTCGCCACTGCACCAAGGAAATGTCTCAATGCCTATAGCGACCCTTTCAATCCTATTTTCTCAAGGAAGTGTAGAATTTGAAGTGGCTTCAAGTTAGGTAAATCTCCCTCTTCTATTTGATATCCTCCTAGATATAGTGCCCTTGGATTCTGGAGTGCTACACATTCAGTTAGGATGTGAATGGAGGTTTCGTCCTCCTCCTCACAGAATTTGCACTCACTGTCCTCTACTACTCTCAGTTTACTTAGGTGTCCTTTTAGTCGGCAATGCCCGGTAAGGATCCCTGTTAAAATACGTAGCCTGTTCTTGCTCAGGCAGATGCAGGCTTCCGATCTTTTCTGGTTATATTCACCCAGAAGTATCTTGGCCTGTCTCAGCCCCAAGAGATTGTTCCAATTATCGGTTCTTCTACTGCCCAATTCTTTTTTAATCTCTCCTAATATTATGTTACTGCTGATACCGCAGAACGGCTCAGGTCCTACAGAGGGTGTGAAATACTATCTGCAATCTCGTTACCCTGTACCCCGTTATGTCCCGGGACCCAAGTGAGAGTAACTATTTTTCTCGCCTAGCTCATTCAATTGTTCAAGGCATCTCCAGACCATTTTTGAGCTGATTACGTAAGAGCTCAGCGCTTTGATGGCTGCTTGACTATCGGACATGATGATAATCTCTTGTCTATTATAGTTTCTCTCGATGTTAAACTGGATACACTTCTCGATGGCGTGAATTTCCGCCTGGAAGATGCTTGGGTATTTTCCCAAGCTTTCGGAGTGCTTGGTTCTTGGTCCATACACTCCTATTCCAGTTCCTTCTATGGTTTTGGAACCGTCCGTATACCACTGAATAGCACGTCTTTCGGTTGCAAGCACGATGGATTCTTGGCTCCATTCGTTCTTGCAGCCCAGCTATGTGGTTTTGATGTTTTTCACAAAACTGTACTTCTTTTGCATTTCATCCTGGGGCATGTCCCAGGTATCTTTAGTCCTGAAGCAAGTAGACTTTCGTCTGATTACTCCGTTCCTGATCATTCTATATCGTGGCCTTTTTGCCACATTCTCTATCAAATGTAGAGGGGTGAGGTTTAAGATCACCTCCTTTGCGGCCGTAGGACAGGTTCTCATTGCAGCAGTAATGCAAACACAGGCTAGTCTTTGTACTTTTGAGATATTAGCTCTCGTAGTAGCTAGACTAGTTCTGTTACTCCAGGCTATAGCCCCGTAAGTGATGATTGGTCTCACTATTGCAGTATACATCCATCGCAGTATGTTTGGGTTACATCCCCATCGTTTACCTGCAATGTCTCTGCATACCATTATAGGGCTTTTGTGGCCTTATTTACTACTTCCTTCTCATGTGTGTTCCAGAGAAGTTTGTTGTCCAGGGTTAGGCCTAGATATTTGACTTCATTTTTCCATTCTAAATCTAACCCATCTAATTTAACGGTTTTGAGATTAAGTTTTCTTTTCCTTGAAAAGGCTACTAGTGTTGTTTTTGTAGGGTTTATACTAAGTCCCACTTCACGACACCATCTTTTGGTATGTTCTAGTCCTCGTTGGACTATATCACACAGGATATTACTAAACTTGCCACTAGCAAATATGACTATGTCGTCGGCATAACCTTGACAGGGTATGCCGAGGTCAGTCAATCTGCATAGAAGTTCGTCTACGATTAGGCTCCACATTAGTGGGGATATAACTTCTTGTGGACATCCTCTGGTTGTGCAGATAGAGATGTTGTCCTGCCATATCTTTGTCTCTGCAGTTCTCGTAAATAACAGCTGAGCCATCCATCTGGATGTGATGTTATCTACTCCTCTGTATGCAAGTGCTCTTTTTACAGATTTGTGTGGCGTGTTGTCAAAAGCTCCTTCTATGTCTAGGAAGGCACACACGACCGTTTCTTTGTTTGTCAGTGCATCCTGGATTACATCAGTCAACTGTACCAGGGCAGTTTCTGTAGATCTTCCTGCTCGGTACGCGTGTTGGCTGTGGTGGACTGGCACCCTCTCCAGGACTTGTGTTCTGATATAATTATCAACAGCCTTCTCCATTGTTTTTAATACAAAGAATGTGAGGCTGATTGGACGGAAAGATTTAGGATGTGTGGTATCCTTTATCCCTACTTTTGGAATAAAGGTAACTCTGGCCCTTCTTCATGCTTCTGGTATATATCCCAGCTCCAGACTGCTCCGGGATAGCCGGATTATGTGTGGTAGTAATTCCTCCTGTACCTGCTGAAGCAGGGCAGGAAATATTCCATCCACATCTGGAGACTTAAACGGTTCAAAAGTGTTTACGGCCCGCCGTAACCGATTTCTGCTGCATATGTGTTTGGCCACTACAGCGGCCTCTCTTGGGGGCCTGCTTACTTTAGTTGTGTCCCTTATTAGAAAAGGTGTGCTTCCAGGAAAGTGAGTTTCGAGTAAGAGGTGATGGTCCACAATGGAGGCAGCTGTAATATTGCTACAGACACCCTAGAAATCCATTTAATAGAAGAAAAGGTGATAGAAAGAAATAAGGAAAAGGAAGCGCAGGATATAAGGAAGCGCCGAAAGATAATACATGCAAAAACCAGACTTTTTGAACCATCAAAGGATTACAAAGGTGCTGATTATCAAGACGATGGTAGAACTTCCGACGATCTGAGCGAGGAAGAACCGACCAAGGACCTCTTTTTGATTTCACCGATTTAGAGCGCCTATTTTTTTTTATTAATTTGGTGTCATCGGTATCAACTACTAAGGTTATTAGCCTCGTGTTCTTTGTAGGCTGTGTTACTGTTTCCCAGTGCCACTTTATGAACAGCACTGTTAATTAGAACCCAACAGTAAATGGTCGAGTGGGGAATCCTACCCTCAGATGAATAAGTAAACTATCTTGATAAGTAAATACAATCTTTTAGCACAGGGTTTGTTTTGTCTTGAACACTAATAAACCAAAGCATAGGCGAGGTGAGAGGGAGGTTGTTTAGATCACATAGGCGTATCATAAATTTATTTCAATATGATAGGAATATTATCTGTAAAAAATTACATTACATTACTATATCTTACAGATTCTGTAGTGTATAGGATATTTCCCAGAATCCTACCAGTAGAAATATTAAAATATTTTTTAATTTGGGTATTTTCATTATTATAAAATATGTAGGCTTATATTTGTTGGTTTAAAATAAACAAAAATACCCTTTTCTTAAGTCTTTATATAAATATAATACAAATTTGTCTACAACATACACGATAGATACTTTAAATGGATCTAAGATATAATACTACTATTTTATGTACTACTAATCAATACAACGTGACGTAAGATATTATGGATTATGGATTTTTTTATTAATGGCAGAAAATTGTGAAATTGTCTTTGAATGTTTGTGACTATCGCAAATCTCTGCAAATTTATGAATTTTACCACAAAAATCTCGCGGATGATTTAAAGGTTTTTAGTAGAATCAACGGCCAGGGCCGCCGAAAGCCATGGTGGGGCCCCGGAGAAA